CGCCTACGGGGCCCCGTTCCCACCACGGCATTGCAGCGGTGCTTTCGCCCCGCGCCGGCCCTGCTGTCCTCCACCGCGTCTGCCCTCAGCTCCTCGGGCCCCCGGCTCCAACGCTTGTCCCTGCCCAGCAGCGCCCAGCACTGCGCGTTTTTTGCCTCCCGCTGCTGTGGGCCCTAGTTTGCCCCGGGGGCAGCTCCTCGGGCCCCCGGCTCCAACGCTTGTCCCTGCCCAGCAGCGCCCAGCACTGCGCGTTTTTTGCCTCCCGCTGCTGTGGGCGCTAGGTTGCCCCAGGGCTTGCCACCCACTTACGCAGGGCACGGTCTTTTTTTAGGAGACACCGAAGGCGAGGGCTCAGGGTCAGGAGCCGAGCCTGCCCGGCTCAAGCCACGGCTCCCGGGGCGGCCCTGGGGCAGGGAGGCTCCATCTCATTCACGCGCAGAAGAGCATCAGCCCAAGGGACGGCTCCAGCATGCCCTGAGCCACGCTCGGCAGGAAATTCTCACTCCGCGCAAGGCCAGGTGAGCCCTACCCAATTTGCTCTTCGGTTCAGTGTTTTGTTTGCTGCGGAAACGTGAAGTGGGGATGAGAAGCTGAGGCTTAAGCTAGAAACCTCTCCACTTCACAGCCAGGGTGGGAGAAGAGCAGATGCAATCATTTACTGTAGAGCTCAGCAAATCACAGGCACGTACCTGCCTTTCCCCAGGAGCTCCCATTGTTGCAGCGTTTCCAGGCTTGGCTGGATAGAGTGTTTTCTCCCTGAAGCCTGGCCAGAGGTTAGGTTGCTGTCTGGTGAGCAGAGGGTTAACCAGGAGGCGGATGCAAGCACAAGGTAGACACCCGGGAAAGCTACCCCAGCTCGCGGTAGCTCTGTAAAATCTTTCATTATTCTACTGGTGACAGAAAGCAGAATTTGCCCCTCCCTTTGGTGCTATAGGACACACTAACGCTACACGGACTGACTAGCTGGCAGCCACCGCGAGCCAAGGCCAGGTCCTAGACTCACTAGGCAGGTGGTGAAGCGGCAGAAGGCACCAGGCGCTCTGTTGTGCTAAAGGAAGCTAACAGCAGATTTAATAGCAGCAGAGCTTTGGGACTTGCAGCTGGGGGGATGTAGCCACAGCAAGGAGCAGCCAGCAGCAGCTCTTATAGAGCCTTTGTCACTGAGGCGACGATGAGCCCAAGGACAACAGGACTGGAGCAATAGCCCCTTCTCTGGGCCTTGGTGCTTTGAATGACCAGACACGGACGGCTGCACAGGAGCGTGCTCCTGCCCGCAGAACATCTTTGCTAGCAGATTCGCGTTGCTGCGGCCAAAGGGACAGATCCGCTCACAGCCAAGTGCCGTAGCAGAAAAAAGGAAGCAAAGGGCCCTGTCACCGCCTGGTGGCACCAGCACTCCCTTCACCATCCCCAGCTGTCCAACCTACTGCAGCAGCACAAAGCAGTAAAAACCCCTCCTTTCTCCAGCTGCTTCATTGAACACTAACACAAAACAGCTGGACACAAAGGGCTAAGGAACAGCCCCCAAACTGCTGGGCTGTTGCCGCACTTAAAAGATGGGAAAAAGAAGACATACTTTAGGAACATGCCTTGCCACAAGGACTTCAGGGTGATGGGAGTGGCAACAGGAACTGTGGTTCAAAGCAAGAGCAGAGGTTGTGATTTCCCAGACACTGCCAGGCCCTGCCAATATGCTCCTCCTTGCTGGGTCACCTCTGTAGGCACGATGGCTGCAACCCCCAAACCTCCGTGGAGCCAGATGCCAGCTGAGAATGGTCACAGTGCAGACGTTGAACGGGGGGCCCTGCCTGAACCCCTGTGCCCGGTAGAGATGCACAGCTACATGTAGAGAAGGGAATAACCGGTTAAGGTGTGCAACCATGAGGAGGTGATGGAGCAAACACACCTCTGTTTTCCAAACCACAGCACACCTCAAGGAGAGCCCCTAAGGAAAGTGGGTGAAAACACTGACAGCCTTCAACCCAAGACCCCAGGAATGGGTGTCTAGTGTCCTGCCCCTGCAGAGATTCTCGTTCCTCCAGCGGAGCTGAGCTTTCCCTCCTTTCTCCTGGCTGGATCGAGTGTCCCCAGCTCCACAGAGCAGGCTGCTCCCTCAAAGAGGGCCACAGGAGGGGAGACACCCCAAGCCATCAGGTAGTTTGAAGGCAAAGCAGAGACTCTCCATGGCAATGCAATGTTTATTATGACCAAGCAGAGAAATAGGTTATCAGCTACAGGGGCAGGAGGGAGGAGGCTTTACTCTAAGTGGTGCCTCGGAGACAAACAGCTGTGACATGCTGCAGGAGGGAGGCCTCATTTTCCTTTTGAGTAGTCTAGTGGGAGTGAGACGTTCCCTTCTCCCCCCTCCTGTCCCCAAACATTACCAGGGCGAAGGTCCTGCCTTCGCAAGGGGATTTGTCACCTAACACAACTCTCCTAGCCAGTCCTGGCTACGTCCATCAGCCCTACCCGGAAACGCGAGCCCACTTTCTACAAAAGCAGCCTTCCCTCCAGAAAGAGAGACTGTACAGAGCACACACGGCTCCCGCGTTACAGTGTTATTGCTCAGTGTGACAGGCGGTCAGACACAGGAACTTAAGGCAACAGGAATAAGTGCACTAGATGGGCCTCCAAATTGGAGGGCCCTGGAGACGTGCACGGCACAGCCGGCCCCCCAACACAGCTCATTGTCTCAGGCAGTCCTCAGTGACACCCTGTGCAGCCAGCTCTGCCAGCACATTGTCCAGGTAGTTGGGGTCAGGGTAGCCATGGCCACTCAGGTTTGTGTCCATCTCTGTCTTGTGATGGATTTCGTTCCACACCACCGTGTTGCTCTCACCAGTGGTGCTGGAGGTGCCCACTGTGAAAATCAGGCGTCTCTTCCAGGCCACCTTTAGGAGCTCCAGGACCTAGAGGCGGAGGGAGAAAAATCAAAGATGGTTTCCAGCAGCTAGGAGACTCGAGTTATGAAAGGAACAGATGAGCAGTCCCTTCTTTCCAGGCTGTGGGAACAGCTCCATGGCCCTTTCCAAGGGAAACATCCAGGTGAGACATGGACCCAGCTGCTTGCCAGAAGCTTAGCAACCTACATCCCTGTGGTAGCATCAAGAAACTATAAAGATATCAGCATCAGAGGGGTCCCCCTCATCTCCTAGTTACCTATGTGGTGTCCCTGATGGGAAGGACAATTCCCTCCAAACACCAGTCTTCTAGGACTTGAAAAATACTGGCACAACTTGAGACAAACACATCTACCCACAGAAAACGGGGATGGGAAGAGTCAGCAGATAGAACCGCTGAGCTTGGAAAATCCAAGAGTAAACCCTTGTAACAGCACAGCTCAAGGCAGGCCAGGAGTGTTTTCTCAAAAAATTAGGTGGGCTTTTGTTTAGCAAAGGGATGAAAGGCAACTAAACTTCCCAGCCAAAGTTGTTGAGAGAAAGTAAAATCTTCACAGCCAGAGGGGTTATAAACACACCTAAGGAACAACCACATGGACAACCAGCAAGAATAGCTGGTCAGCATCACAGGAGCAGCTCTCATAAAAACCACCCTATTCGAAAAGCCACCAATACTGAGCCAAGAGACAATCGTGGAGGAGTCATGTAATCAGTGCGTAGCCTTACCTTTCTGCCTTTCTCACTGTCTGGCAGATAGCAATAGCGAGGAAAGCCTCTAGCTGTGTAAGGCATCCCAGGGTTGGGGTGCTCAGGGCCCTGCAATAGATAAAGGACATATTCTGCATGGACGCTTCCATCTTTGTATGGGTTGCACAATTTCTCAGTGGTAAGATTTAGGAGCAGCAACAGAATTTAGGATAGGACCATCTCAGGTCAGCTTTTCCATCCAAAAGGAGCAAGGTATTGCCGAACACGAGTACAAGGTATTTGACTTTTTCCTAAGGGACACGCTAACATCACAGATCCTCCATGAGGTACCTCATGGTGGGAGGCAGCCTCAAGCTACAGGTTTTGCACATGGTCTAAAGATACCCTAAAAGAAAGACCACCTGCCTCCAGCCTTTCAGCTCACTGCAACCACACAAAGCTCAGATGTGGGCTGTGAAATAAGACATTGGAATCTCTCCCACCCTGTGGGCACTGGCTGAGTCTTCTCCCTGCTTCAGGCAGATAGTTTTAACTGTAGGTGAAAGGTTGGCGAGAGGCAGATTGGCCCCAGGGTCTACAAAGTCCTTCATAGAGGAGACCAAAGTCACTGATACGTTGAAGACCATCCTGTGCAGCTAGCAGCTCCAGGCACCTTAGAAGAGGCTGCTCAAAGATGGGTTGTCTCAACAGGTAACTGTACTGGGTTCCCGGTACTGCTCTGGGAGGCTCACACAGCTTCCTCTCACCAGCCTCAGGACTGTCTGACAGCAGCCATTCCTGCAAGCACGCTGTGTACTCACCTGAATGCCTCTGCTGATGTGATATACGATCTGGATCGTCCCACAGTCCTTGTGGCCAGGGAGAGACTGGGGAAAAGTGGAGACCTCCATCTTCCCTTTGGGCTGAGTACCAGTTTTCTCTCCATAGATGGTTTTACAAGAGGGGCACTGCAAACTCCCATCCTGTGGGGAAACAGAAGCAGGCATCAGACCTCCACAGTCACCTGGACACAGGGCACGGGACCCCAGTGGGGATGGGCTGTCTTGGTACCTTGTTTCCATTGCAGTACATGGCCAGCACGCAGAGCATGTGGAAGGAGTGCTGGCAGTTTGTCAGGCGACCGACCATCTCTGGCTTGATCGTGCTGCACTCGCAAGCGTCCCCATAACCTGAGGGGGATGCCAGCTTCTCCATGCAGATCATACAATCCTAGACAGAAAGGACAAAGCCTCTGTGTACTGCGGGCACCAAGGCATTCATACTGGCTGACCCACCACGGAAATGATCAGGGAAACATTTTAAGAAGCTTTGCCTTTAGCTTTAATCCTTCCCTTTAAGGCTTAAGGACAGAGACAGGTTTCTTCATTCAGCTGCTACCACTCTTCACTGCCTCCTCCCGGACAGCACAGGACAAGACTGCCGTTAGAAGGAACAAGCAGGGAACTGAACATGTTTGTGTCCTGCTCCTCTACAGAGTAGCTCCAGTGCAATTCAAGGTCTAGAGTCTGTGAGTTCGAGCTCTGTGAGCACTGAGAAGACACAAAAGTCAAACTCCCTCCTTCACCCCAGATCCTGCAGCCAGTTCCAAGAGGAATCAGAAAGCATTGGTAGGATTAACTATTTGACCCACACAACGCTCCCTTAGCCACAGTCCTCTGCAAGCAACAGACAGTCCAACAGCCAGAAACCATCTTCCTGCTTCTGGGTACTTCCAGGTCTTCATCCGAACCCTTACCTACAGTCCTCCTGTTTGCACTGAAAAGCAACAGGCACTTCCAGGGCACAGCTCACTCAGCCCGTTTTAGTTACCTGCCACAGGATAAACTGAATGGCACCCCAAACTCAATTCACTGGAAGGGGGATGTAAGCACCTACCTCTGAGCTAGTCACCCTACAAAGCAATTGAATCAGCTGGATCTCAGCTTGTTCCAGCTGCAGGCTGGAAGGTGATGTTTCAAGTGAGCCTTGTGTAACAGAGAGAGCCGATATCACGTTGGCTTGTGAGATCCTCTATCCGAGTCTAAAACCAGGGCAGCCTCTGCTCCTTTAGTATATGCTCTCACTCTTGCACTCCTCCTAAGGTGGGGAGGCTGGGTGACCATCCATGGGTACCCGTGCTGGCAGGGAGGTGGTTAGGGCAGTATTTCATTAAACAAGCAGCAAGACAGAGTGAGTAGTCCAACATGCATGCCCTGCCCTCTAAGGCTGACAGTTGTTTGTTGGGATAGTTGAACCCACCAAACCTGGAGGGCACAGCGTGCACATCCAAGTATCTGGACGAGGCTGAATCCCCAGTTACTATGTGCGGGCTTCAGGCGACGCTGAGGTCTTTCCACCTAGCATCAAGGAGGCCATTACAAGCAGCAGCATCTACTACACGGGATGGCCACGGAAGAACAGTCCTCATACACCACCTCGGTTTTCACAATACCCCAATGAACAGAGCTCTAGCAAAGCCAACCTTGCTTTATTATCCTCTCTTCTCCCACCTGTTCTTCCTCCCACCCTCCCCTCTCACCTCATCAGCAGGAGCACCCTTCAGCTCTTCCAGGTACTTCCTGACCACTGCTTCCGGCTCAGTTGGTGCTGCTGCACAAGGAGAGAGATGAGAAAAAAGAGGCAAGAAGAAATTAGACGCACCATCAAATATGACAGGCTGTTCAGGGTGAGGCTAAAGAGAAGGGGAGAAGAGCAAATAACCGGCCAGGATGCCAAGGAGAAAGGTTAGGGGTAGAGGGGGAGAAAAGGTCTTTGCTGAAGCAGCTACTCCAACTGATCCACACAAGCCCCGAGATGGCTAGCACTAACACTGTGAGGGACACAGGCCAGAGAACTCACCAGCCTGAACCCCCGCTTGCTCGCAGGTTCTCTCCGAAGGGGGCAGGAGCTGCTACAGAACAGCAGATCTTTGCCCTCGCAAAGGGCAAACTACTGGGGTCCACCTGTAGTTGCTGTGCTCCAGTTTTCCCCACATACCCCAAGAGATGCCAGCCAGGTCCTGGCTTGACTTTTTTTGCACACACCAGAAATCTGCTATGATCAAACTCAACCCAAGGACATTGTAGTCTCAGTGGGAAAGAGATGGGACCTTTCCACAGCTGGGATGAGACATAGCCAAACCCTGCTGTTGGCACCTGACAAGTAGAGAACCAGCAATACACTAGGCTTCAGGCCTTTTTTTTTTTTTTTTTTTTTTTTAAAAAGTATTGCAGAACTAGTCTTGCATCCTTAACAAGAAACAGTAGTCTTTCTTATGAGCTTTTCACATACTCAAATTCAGCAAGACACAGCATGAGTCACAAGGTATAGAAAACAAACCAGTTTTATAATAGGTGTCCTATCTGCAGTACAGGACACAAATATCCTCGCATTTCCCTAAATTTAATCCCTGCTCCCCTCTCACCCTAGCACAGATACCAGTGCAGCCTGTCAGTCAGGCAGGTCTGGTTCCCCCACGCCATCACAAGCCCTCTCAAAGCTTTATGAGAAGCCTGAGATGGAGTTTTGCAGGCTGTCTGCACGCAGCAGCAGATCTCGCAGATGCGCCATCCACGCTGAAGCATTATGGGAGCCAGCATAAAGGACCAAGCAGCAAACACACAGTATCCTGAGTGAGTTCCTGGTGAGAACATCAGATATAGCCTCAACTCCCAGCCAGTCCTTTCTACTACCAGCAGAGCTACCCAGCAAGGCCTTGCCTGCAGGAACCTGTGGCTAGTCCTGTCACCCTACAGACAGTAAGGGAGCACCACTGACACTTTTGCAGGGTGTTCAGCCCTGTGCAAGAGATTATGAGCTCCTTACCAGTCATCAGGCCCATCATGGAGGCTGCCAAGTTCTTCCACCAGCCTATAAAAGGAAATGTTTACACAAGCAGGGTTATGACTCCACCTGGCAGGAGGCAAAAGAGATCTGTCCCTTGGCTAGGGGAATTCCTTGCCTGTCCTTCCTGCTTTGCCCCAAATTTACTTGTGAGAGAGAGGAGGAAGGAGAAAAGCAGTGTTGTGACAGACAGGTCGGTGAAGGTGTAGTTCTCTCTTGCCCATTCTCTTCTCCTATCCTGGCTGCCAGGGCTGTTCTGGGAGCAAGGGAAGTGCTAGCAAAGGCTGTATAGCTCAGGAGCATCGATGCCCGATACCCCAGGGCCTCATGAGAAAGTCATACACCTCCTCATAAAGAGCTCCGCTCTTGAAGAAGTTTCTAAGCCACTGTAGGGCACAGATTGTGCTTTAATACAGAAAGGTGCTTTTAATGGCTGTGCTCCCAGGTAGAGGTAGAGCACCTGTGCACCTTATGCAGCATCACCATGTGCAAGAGTTGGGTGTCAGACCTGCGGGTGTACTTGCACACCACACATCTTCAGCTCTCCCTATCAACTCTGGTGCTTTCAGGGAAGATGGAGGTTCACCAGAGTTGTCTCTGCAGTTGAATAAGCCATGCTGCGGACAAACAGACAGCCACACCAGAGCCAGCACTGCCTCCCTGAGCTGTTCTGTCACCCAAAAAAGTAGCTGCTGTCACCAGGAGGAAGGAGTGGGTGCCATGTTCTGGATAGTTACTTTTCATGGTAGAGGCCAACACGGCGAAGCAGAAGGGGAGGACAGTTCACACGTCACAGGTGACACTGTCATTCAACAGGCAGAGACCTGGATGGCTCAGGTCCTTTCCTCAGCTCCTGTACCAAGTAGGAGATTCCTGTTCCCCTGAACAGCCAGCTCTGCATGTGGTTAGCACTCCAGGGGCACCCTGGAGGACAGCAGAAGGTCTCACGACAGAGACAGTTGATGAGATGCAATCAGAGTTATATACCTTTTCATTGGGAACAAGTTAACTTCAGGGCAATACAAGCAAGGGAGGTAAAAAGCTACTGCGGGTGGAAAATCATTTAGCTAAGGAAGATTGATTAATTGGGAGTTCATTAAGATAGCGTCATTAAGAAGATATGTTTTCAGAAGGGGATACCTGGCCATCCTGAAACAGTAGGCCTCTGGCAATGGGAGGGGGAGCAAGGTATAATTCTGAGTGCAGACAGCAAGAAAATGAAGTCAGGAGATGATAAGAAAGTCTCCTCCCAGGCCCCTCGCTGGAATCCCTGCAGGAACAGGGGCTGGTGCTGGGCTGCCAGCACTGGGCAGGAGGAGCAATGTCTGACATTGCAGGCAGAGCAGGCCTCTGAGGATCACCCATCTGGCCCTCCAGAGACCCTTAGCCAGGAAGGAGGTAACAGGATAAAAGACGCATTAATAATAATAAAACAAACACAGGAACCCAGAAACAGGTGTGTTCCACCTCAACGGCATGCCAAAATCCCTTGGGAATGCATTTACATGAGCTGCTACAAGACAGTGAGGAAAATAAGCCAAGAGGCTGGGCAAGCCCCAGCCTTCCAGCTCTCAGCCTAAGAGCTCAGCAGTGCAAAGGGCTGCTTCGAGGCCTCATCACCAGGCCTCACAAGGAAAATCTCTTCCTTGCCTTGCCTTTTCCAAAGGAGAAAAATGGATCCAGAAATCCTCTCTGCTGGGACCTTGCTCACAGGCAACACATGAAGAAGTGGTAGCCAGGAACGAGTTGTAAGGGGCAGCACTTCCACGTGCAGCAGTTGGAACCGGGCTCTGATCTGTAACTGCAAGAGTCCTTCACCATCACAGGGAAGATGGAGGCTTCAGCTCCCTCTGCTTTGCAGGCTTTGAGCACCTCGCTGAAGAACACCGTGCGAGCAGGGTTAGATGTTATCTATCCACTGTACCTCCACCTGCTTCCACAAAAATCTGATCACAGCGACCACAATGTTCCCATTCCTGAGGATCCCACGCTGCCTGTCAAACTGACCAGCAAGTCCTTCTCCTTCTGACTGTTTTTTCCAGGTGTCTCTTTTTGAACTGACCTTCTTTTTTGTCTCCTCTGGCTAAGGGCTGGAGAAGGCAATGCCAGAAACATACGCGGATGAGGCGGCTGAAGACAGCGAGGAAAGCCAGCAGACACGGTGTGTTACACCAGCACACAGACACCAGCCCACTGCTTGGCAGAACACCCCAGCTCACCTGTTCCCATCAGCACAACAAATTTGAGCAGCTTTAAAGAAATTCACCTTGATCAAGACAGTGGAGGACTTTCTTTCTCTGCAGCCCCTGCTGTGCAGAACTCTCACCGTTGTCTTTCTTTCCTCTGTAGCAGCCCAGAGAAACAAAGAGATGTCTTGCCCAAGAACTGGCCATGCTCATTCAACTGACATCAAAAAGAGGCGACACAAATCCCGGCGCAGAGTTGGGTAAGAGTGAGGACAACGTTCTTGCAGAGTTTGCCAGAGGGCAGAATAGGTGTTCTGGGCAAAGCAGATGATGCTACGCCATCTCACTAGCTGGGATTAGCATGGAGCTGGGGGCAACCAGATGGGCAGAAGAGGGGGATGTACCCTTTGGTCTACCCCAGGAAACCTGTACCTGATGGGCTTCCATGGTGGAATTTCTGATTTGGGCATAGGAAATGCCCTGTTCCTATCACTTTGCTGTGATAATGCTCTGAGGCATCTAGTTCCACCAAAGCTGTTTAGAGAAAGAGCTGGGGAGCCCAGACACTATTACAAATTCTGTCCTCAGCTGCAAGTGCTTGAATGTCCAGTTCCAAGAAAGGCTTTTGATGCTGAGGACTTGGTTTCAGCATGGGTGGCTGAGCCCACATAGCCATGCCTCTGAGAGTGACTCTCCCCTAGGCAGACCAGCACACCTGGCAGTCAACTGCCAGTGATACATTGGGAGCCAGAACCAGGCCTACACAGTCACAGCAGCTTGGAGAATATAAGCCACGCCTTGTTCAGCACATGAATCTCTTCCTTATTGGACCATTTGCTCTATAAAAGTATTTGCTTCCAAATTTGCTTTGTTTTATCAGTCTCTCAGGATCATCAAAGCCTGTTCAGTCCCTATAGCTACCAGGATTCAATAGTGGATTGAAAATGCAATAGCAGAATCAACCAATGTTGTTTATCACCAGCTGGCCTAATGTTGTGCTATTGATTTATCTGGGATGTGAAGGAATGTTTACCATTCTTTCATTTACAAAGAGAGGAATAATGATTTTTCTTAATGCTTCCCCTTCCTCCCTGTAGATAATAAACTGCTTGCTGAAGCAAGGGCTTACCATGGGTAACATTTAACAGATGTGTTTTGACTCCTTGTTCAGCAACCAAATGCTTGCAGCAGCAACATACCTCCTTCTGTATCCCAAAGTGATCCATATGGTTAACAGTTAGACTCTTCTTTTGATAGGCTACATAGGCCAGACACAGGTTGCTTCCAGTTAATGTCATAGACAGTCACCTAACTCTCATCATCTCCGCCCTCAGTTCCCTAGACTCGGCAGGGCTCGACCTACTGGTATCAATTCCCAAAAGGGCTGCCCAAAGACCAGGAGGGTGAGGGGAGGC